AAAAATTAGAATTAATTTTAATACAGTCAAATATGACCCAGGCATAGTATTTAAGGGTAAATCCCTGGTCAATGTATCCCTCCGATGAAGTCGGATGATGGAGCGAGCTGCAGCAGTTCGTATCGGTAGATTTGTTTCGTGTCACTTGCCAGGTGCACGAGCCGAGTGCCGAGAGTTACCCCAGCCCTATCATCGGCAGTTTCACGTGCACGCGTGGTCGCACAGCGAAAAAGAATCCGCGCGAATCGTGGGCGAGGGCGGGCGTTTCGACGTCTGGTCGGTGGTGGGACCGGTAAAAGGGTGACCGAGAGAGAGCAGGTCTCTGGATCGGTATCGCGATCGACCCCGACGAAAATTTACGGATTCCTGTCTGTCCGCGTATAATATCAAGTTGACACGGCCGCTGTTTACACGTTTCTCGTCGCTCAGCTCGGACGCCTGTTCTGCTATCGACAGCTTCACGCTCGCCAGAGTTCTCGAAATGAGTTATTCCGTTGGCGGGAGGAAAAAATGGCGTGAGAGGGAGGAGGAGGGGGCTGGGAAAATATCGGTATACTGTCTCTCTCGTCGAAGGAAAATATTGTCGGTGACACGACCCCCTCTTGCAGAAGCGTGGCGGAACGAGGGTCGAAATGCCAGCGTTATTACGCGGCGGACTGAAGCGAAACTGCGAATCGTATGGTCGACAATCGCGCTGACTGGATAATGTATCGCGCGAATTGCCACTCTGAAATGGATCCACATTGTACGCCCGGCTGGTGTACATAATAATTGTGCCGCGTTCGTGTGTGGCCATCAGGGTGTCATTTGCTTTCACCGGGAGGGAGGGGATGATTACATTTTCAAGCACACTCACTGATTCCCTGAACTAGTTCATTCTTTATCTTTTATATTATATTCGATGCTTTGGATAGTTTGCCAGTTGTCCACCTACAAGGATTATTTAATAATGTAGGGCATGCTTGTTAAACTTAAACCAGTATTAATTACAGCATCATTAAACATAGCAATAAAAATTAATCAGCGGAATGCTATTTTAAAATGTGATAGTTCCGGGTATATTTCTGGGTGCTTTCATCAGTTGGAAAATAGAGAAATTTGAAAAACACGGAACGTTCAGGAGGGAGAGATCTTGCTTAAAATTCGACAAGCCGATTCGGTACAAACGGACGGACATGTGCGGCTCGTTAATAAATTCGCTCATAGCCGTATAACCCGACGAAATGACTTTAATTAAAAATATAGGCGAGCGGGAATTTTTGTCGGAATAACATTGAAAAGGAATACGCTAGCGTGGAACAGGCGGTATCAGGTCCGTTTCGTTCTCGTTCATTTTTTCCTTTTTCGGGGCGAGAGGGAGGGAGGGAGGGAGGGAGGGAGGGAGGGGGATGGGTGAACCAGGGAGCGATTTTCCTGAATGCCTGCGGCCGAAAAGAAAGTCCCGTTCTGTATTCACGTTCATTACCTATATTTTTCTGTCTTATGCGGCTCGTTAAACGCGACGTGCTTAATACGGAAACTACCGGCGTCAGCCAACGACCAGCATTGCGCCGCTGCTCGGATTTTCATATTTCACTTCAATCTCCACTTCAGCAGCTCAACATACATTCCCGGGAAAGGTCGGACACTCGTGCGGAATTCATTGGGCCGCGCGACGAGTGCGGAGGGAATTTACATCTGCGGCTGGACCGCTGGATGGCTCTTCTACACGAATATTATTTAGTGATAATTATTACCGGCGCTGTCTAACTGCTTGTCTGTTCGCCGATAGTACTCTTCAAAACGAGGCTTGAAAGACAATACCACGGAGTAGGAAAGCCGAACCGATGAAAGTAGTTTTTTAGAAAATTATTACTTTATACATTGGTTTCTAACTTTTTAAACGCTCGATATACCGTTATCTTCACCGAGATTCATTTTTTTGCCGAGATTAATAAGTTGTCCAATAATGTTCGCGTGATTATCAAATACAGATAAATGAACGATGATCGCCTGTGGGGTTGAAGGATCTGAGCAACGCGGCTCCACACCATCGCGCTCTTCCCGCTTTATACACACGCGTATACAGATAGAAAGAGAGATGGAGAGAGCGAATAAACGAACACGTGGGGTAGCGGGTGCGCTGATGATCCGTCAGCGACGCCATAACGTATAAGCAAAGCGATGATAACATCAGCGGCACTTATAATGTAAATTAGCTGGTGACACTCGACTCGGTAACAGAGTAATGTAATGCGCGAATAAATAGCAACAACTGGCCGGGCGCATCGCGCTGTCAAATGCGTCCTGAACTCTCATAAAGCACCGTTGGCTGCACCAATTCGTCCGCGTGGGCGTGAGTTGGTAGGTATGCTTCTGATGGAAATATTGACTATTACGCGGCGACCGGGAATGTGTATCATTGAATTGCCACTACCATAAATATGCCGAAATTCTGCCGGCAGCATTTCATACTTTTGATTTATCCGTGACCAGACCACGGTTACAAGTGACACGGCCCCATGTACGTTCGGATCCTTAGGCCTCTCGTCCCTACACGTTTTCCATGGTAAAGCAGCGCTATCCGTGAATCCAGTCATTTTACTCTGGAGAGAACTTAGGGTACCTTTTTACGTCATGCTAAATGACATTTTGTCCGATGGAGGTATGACATACTCCACCATTTTTGAAAGCAATATTACGTTCTTATTAAAAATCCTTGGTACTTCGTTTTGTTCCAGCGAGTCTTTATTGCTGAGCAGCCGAGGTTGTGGAAGCATTTTGTATCTCGTTTTATAGTTTGAGTAAAAAAGAAAATTTTCTGGTTGGGAAGTCTTATTTAAATTATTATCTCACATTTTATAGCTAAACATTTTTTATTATGTATACCTATTTTAAGAACGTTGAAAATGTAAACTAATAACGTATTCCCTAACTTAACATTTTTCAAGTGCTGTCTACTTCACAAATTCAGAACCCATTTTTTCAAGACACCTTTTACCTTTTCACTTCCAGTATATGCATACATCAATGTTCGTTTCGATAGGTTTTTGCCATGCGTTTTAATTAAAGCCTTTGCGAGTACGAATGTAAATTTGCCCCGTCCAATTAGGGCGGAAAGAGGCGATGTTCAATCGAAAAGACGAGAAATTAATCCGTTTCCAATTAGACGGATCCGCATAAAGTGATTCGCTTTCAAGCTCGCGTTTAATGGCCTGAATAGAGTATTACCGAAACTTTAAGGTCGCTATCTTTCAGGGTGCGTGTGTCCGATGTTGAAGATGAGGCTGTCGGTGCAAAAAAGGCCCTGCCTTCGAACCTAGAAGCTGGGGTATTCCGTAACCGTTTGCATTAGTAATTCACAGAGCGGCGTAAATGATACGTTCAATCCCATGGATGAATTAATAAACATAAATAAAGAGGCTGTGCCTCGCGCTGACTAATGACGTATTTACCGGGCCGGGTGTTAGAGTCGAAACACGTCGAGTGTGAGCGTATGGCAGTTCATTAAAATTTACGTTATAAAGCGGTCGAGCGTTGACACATTCAACACGGACGTAATAAAGCAATGCTTTAACGCAATATCGTTGAACACCCCTTTTGAATTACCTTCTCTTACCTGGCGATGACGATACTGTTTCATGATTCTTTTTTCGAGAGGACTGAGAGTTTAACCTGTTACATCTCCATTTTTTTCAAAGGTGAAGTGTTAGAAAGTCGCAGTGACAAAATCACTTTTCGATTGCACCAATAATAATAATTTTCCTAACTGTGTACATATGGGTATATATTTTGATAAACGACTTCTTAATAATTAACATTTATCCCTGTACTTTGAAATGCAAATGTAACAGTCATGGAAGTCTGCTTTTCGATGAATTAGTGAGGTACTATCGATAGCACCGGGTACGGTGTTATTAATAGAGCGACATGTGTTGCAGATCGCTCGGCTTGTATCGATACCCGCGTCCAATTGCACGTTAATTATTAATGTCCTGTGTCTGACAATAACGCGAATATTGATGAGATTATCAATAATTTCGCGGTTTCTGGGCATCGCTTTTCACCACGATTTACTTCCAACAATGAACACCAATATTGACTGCAGTATTTTTCTTTCCAATGTATTCGGAAGTTTTCCTATCAATTTAAGAGCCATTCGTAAGACTTAGAATTATTATAGAGAGACAAGTGGAATGATTCATGTTATAATCATATTACAATTTCTTCCCTTTTTCGGTGGAAAATTTACGGTAATCGTAGTGATCCACTGGTTACCTTAAACGCGGCAATTCCTTTTCCCGTTTCCCTTCACGCTAGCAATTAAAAGCTCGATTCAGCGTCGTTATTCGAAACAGCTGCGTTTCAAACACAAAAGCGTCCTCTCGTTAATGCTCTTCATGGACGACGTGACAAGCTTTCGCGGTTATCAAAGACATATTTTAATGCGATGCAAATATACTTCTAATTACGATGAAAATATGTTTGAAAAAAAAAAGAATATTAGGAGATAAAAACCTTTGAATATTCAACAATGCTATTGAATTTACTATTAGTAGGTAACAAAGAATTCTTTCGTCTTTCATGATATTTCATTTCATAATACTTGACTTTATTGAAGCTTAGATATCTGTAATTTCTCTTTCTACAAAAGTAACAATAGTAATTAAATAAATTAAATTCTGTCAAATCCTTGGTACATGTAGGATCATTCTGTAAAAGAATGACGAGTACCAAAATTTTCCGATTTTTAACACCATCCTTTTCCGTTATAAATGGAACACTTAATTGGAAGGCAAAATAAATAATTTGACGAACATTGCCGTTGCGTGAACGCAGGAACCGCATGCGAAGCTTATGCCGAGGCGTTGCCCGTATGACGCGGTCACGCGGTGTGTGACGTGTGAAATGGAGCACGGTCCCTCTATAATTATATGTATCCTATTCCCCTATCTTCGATGCCGTTGCGATCAACGTGGCACGAACGCGTTCGCGAAACGTGGAAAGTGCATTGATGCAGCGTCGCGGCGCCTCCGGTGCACAGCGTGCGTGTGCTCACCGCCAAACCCAGCCATCGGACGTGTGGATCGTTCCTGCCCTCGTTCCGCACCGATGACCGGTCCATCGTTTCGACCAGCACCAGGACAATCGGGATCATTGCATCGCATTCCCGTACGTACGAGTTGCGCGTTCGGATAATTACCGTATGCCGAGGAAATATTGGACCGGTCAGTTAAATTTCATTAACAAGTGGTGGAATATAGTTGGGATAAAAGGAAGAAAATATCAAGATAAAACGTTCAATTGAACCCAAGTTGTAATTATCAAGTTTAATATCATCCAATCGGTTTTTTTTATTATTTGTATAGATGTATAATTTCATTTATTTAGGATTACAAAGACCCTTCAGATACTATGAATCGACGTCTATTCTATCAGGAGGATCTTTGGGGAGGGACTTTAAACAAACATCATCTAGTTTAGTGAGAGGTTGTATCGGGTATACGAGGATCTCGTGTAAACATGACAGAGTCGGTGCCACTTGAAACGTCCACGAAGGGCTGGTAGTTTTCTTAAGTCAACGCGGAAGCCCCCTGTCTCGTTTGAGACAGGTTAGGGCTGCTCTTGACTTCGATTTATCCCAGCTTCTGATCTCTCTGTATTTCTTTCGGCTTTGAACGGCTGATAACGTTACCTCTTCAAATCACTTTACCTTAACCCCTTAATTAATAAGCTGAAACCTAGAAGACCTTCACTCTGTTCTGATGTCCTTTTTTTTAATTTATTTATGCATTTATACGTATATTTAATTATTCCTTGAAAAATCAAGTGTCCACTCGACAAACAAATGCTCCGACCCTTGTTCACTCAGGTAGCTGAAAGACGAGACTGTATCTTAATTTGGTAACTCTGTCATTTGCATAAATAATTTTCTTAACACGAGGTTCCCTTCTCGAGTATAACAATTCCACGTTAGAGAAGCTGTACAGTACATAACGAGTGGCCATTTTAACCCCTTTTCCTCGCGAAACATAAATAATGATCGTCGCTAATTTGGCCTGGGCGCAACCCTTGGCCGGTGGCGAACGTAAACCACGCAATTATAATGCCGCCACATTAGAATTTATACCGCTGCCGGCAACAAGCAGCCTCCTTCTTCAACCTTTTTTTTCTCCTAAAGCTTACATCCTTAATCCAGTTGAAATATCTTTTTCCCGCGACCTCTGTATCGACCTCAGGATTTAAGCCATTTAATTAAGTCAGTCCCACTTGCAGAAACCGATTATAATTTTTCAGATGTCTACGACTTAAGGCGGATTTGTATTAACTCGTGGGTGTCTATGACTTATACGTCCTTGAATTGACGATGCAAAACGCTGTACTATGATTTTTCAATTTGTAATTAATTTAAAAAATTAGGAAAGCATCGTCCGTTTCTTTGTCGAGAAACACAATCGATTGAATGGTGCGTGATAGATCTGCGATATTTCTACTGTGTAATGTGCAGCAATATGCGCGGCGTTAAATCAAATCCAATTTGAGCCCTTACGCGTCGTGCACCACAGCACAGAGTAGCACCTGACAAACTCATTGGTCTGACTAATTGAATCATTCGCCGTTCAATCGCTTTACGCGTGCTATACGTGTGTGCTGCACGATCGTCGAACGTCTGTCGCGTTTGTTGTTCAGCTAGCAATTGCTGGGACCGGTGTATGTATGTCGGGCTGCATCAAGGCTAACTTCACCGATTAAAGCCTTAGCTTTGAATTAACACGATACGTAAGATAGACATTTGTACCTCATTTAATTTCTTTTTCCTTGAACCAAACTCGAGATATAAATCATTTCAATTGCATGACTCGTCCTGTACATATGTATACAGATAAAAAAAAATTGTGTCGCTAAATCAAAACGGTGACACTTCTGTGTGTCCTCTCGTAGGAGGCCCTCAAAGAACAGTAACATGTGTAGTAAAAGGATTCAGGGTGGCCATTCGAAACGTCAGTGAAAGTGGTCCACGTCCCTCGTGGTCTCGACTACAACTTTCAAGTTTCGGTAGCTGGCGCCAGACCTGTCTGAGTCTGTTTAAAACATGAAGTGTCTGACCGGCTTTTCCGTTCAGAACCGTTCGAACCGACCCTCTAGAAACGAACACTCGAAGGGTACTCGATATCGTCTCGACTTTGCAAGTCACAGATCTGGTTATGCTTTTCTTTCCAGCAGACTTCTGCGGAGGGAAGTTTATTTATTCGTATCAGCCCTCCTGCTGACGCGACTCGTCGTTAACTGATTCGTTTAATGATTCTACGTGTTTTGACAAAACGAAATGGAAGCTGTTGGATTACTTAAAATTTTCCATAAGCGCTCGATGAACAGGATTCTTCGGGTTTATTTGGTAACACCGATCGAATGGAAGATGAGCACGCTAGGAGGACAATGCCGCGTCTCGTGGACGCTTTGGTCGGAGAAATACAATGGTAGTCAATAATGCGTATGATTTGTGCAATAGGCGTCTAGTGCAGGTGCAGCCGGTGCCGCGCAATTCGACGCTGCGAAATCGTTCTACCTCGAAACATCACCGATGCACATGTGCGCCCACTGTGATATCCGTACCGAGTTGGATCGTACGCGTCCATGTTACGTGCATTCGTGCTCGTCATTACGTGCAGCGCTTGCCCGATACGTATCTAGCCATTATTTCCCTTACGTTTACACTATTGGTCACCGTTCGTTATGATTCTTTACACCCTATCTTGCATATTAGGTCGGGCGGAAAAATTTACATTTTTACCTCAATACGTGCATACAATTAAATATACCGTGCAAGTAAAAACGAATCTCGGCATTTTGCAAGCAAAAGAAATTCAAACTTGGTCGCTCAGCAAGGTTTATGTTTGAGAAAAAAAGAAAGAAGAAAGAAAACACTTTTGGTAATTTATAGGACACCGTGACATTCTGTCTGGACTTTATAACACGCTTTATGGCGAGGCGCAAACAAGACCAACTGATAAGTAGCTATCTACCATGTTAAACATGTTATCCTAACGTGTTACAGACATGTCTACGCCGTAGCACAGATAAGCAACAAGTGTGCAGTTCACATCGAGCCGTTTGGGAAAAGGTATTGTGTACTCGCCGTATGTACTGTTAATTGTCTCTTGTTTCCTCCCCCACCGTCGTCCCTCTGGACCACCCTATCTTTTTTTTTTTTCGGTCGAACCGTACTGAATAACGCCATGATTACCGATATGGAACGACGTTTTAATCATCGAACGAGTTTCCACCCTTCATGGTTTTCCCTGCGCGAGTATTTGTCTCTGTTGAAGAAAGAACGTCGAAACGAAATCGTGATAATTCTGTAGGTAATTTGTCTGTGAAACAAAATATCGTTTCACAGCTAATATCTCGTTTGTCTATTTTCTTTTTCGATTAGAAAATGAGGGTAATGAAAATTCTTTCTCCGTTTCAATGAATCATTTTAAATAATAGTTGTTCTCTAAGGACGGAGTTAAATAGGAGAACAAAACGAGAGAATGATCGCGGAAACCCTGAAAAAGCCGTATTTCACGGAAATAGCCGATGGAGCCTCCTTATGGTCAGCAAATATAATAAAGTCGAGGTCCATATATACGTGCTTATGGTCTCAGCCAGGGTAGACCCCAAGAAAGAGCAACGGTATGCCGCACGGGGCAAGAAAAAGGGGAGACGCGAGCCAGGGTCGTCATATTTTCTGATCTTCCGCCAATAAACTCCATTACTATTTATCAGGCTAATGCGTCCTTATAACTCCCATTAACAACAATCTATACGGTATCACGCATTAGTAGCCGAACACACACGAAACTGTGGTTATATCGATCTTCCATCATGGAGAAATGGCCTATTAATCGTATATAACCTTATCTCTTAGGTAGAGATTTTAGAAATATAGTACTCTTATATTTTGGTAAAAATATTTAATATTTAAATTACATTGAATGTTTTAAACTAGGTACAATTTGTTATTATTAACAAGCACTCTTTCATAACCCCTTAATAAATCATTCACGTAACATATTTTACTTAACAGACTGTATCTGAAAAAAAATCTGAAATAACATTTATAATATTCTCGTCAAGTATTACATTACCCTTAAAATGTATTTTATCATTCGTTATTATCACAAACAAAAATGTATCAAAATGGTTCAAATACACAGACATCCTCCATGCGAGATGCAACTGTTGACCGGTTATCTGATTAACAATAAATTATACTTCCATGTAACTTCTTATACGTTTATCGTATATCAAAGTAATTACAAACTGCAACGTACAGTGAGTGTGAAAAGTGTTCTTACAGCAATCAGTTTTAAACCACAGATATTGAAATAATGAGGGAAAGTTAATGAAAATAATTCACAAATATACGAGTGTTAATTATGTTAGTATTTAATAGTTAAATTAATTTAAAATTAATAAGAAAAATTTAATAATCATATCCAATGACAAACCGACATCTACAATATAAATTTGCATAAAAATTAACTATTTATTTATAAAAATTAGTTGATAAATTGCATTGCTTTGCGAATATTTTCTACGCTCACTGTATATACATAGGGTTTATTTAATAAGATTTAATCAAACCAACTGCCACGGAACACTGCATAACTTGAACACGTTACACAGTCTGCCGACTCCTTGAATTGCCTCGTATGAATGTTCCTCGTTCCCACTGATTTTATGAAAACAGCTTGCACGAGACGCATTAAAACATCGTTCTTCTTCCGTCAAGTGTTTCTAGAAATTTTTCAAAATACCAAAATGCCTTCTTAGAATGTGTCGTAAGCAATTAGACCAGGTCGATATCGTTAAACATCTGTAGTTTGTAGCCTTAGAAAAATAGAGGCGGAGATCATAGTCTATTTACCGACACGACCCTGAACTAGACTAAACAGTGTCATAGGTCGTGGCGATCGTCTGTGTACATAAACATGAAGGGTCTTTAGCTAGTAGCAACCACTCGACCACCATCTGCTTCAAGGGTTACGGCAGCCGTAAATAATTTTCTGAATGAGTTTAGGACTGGAAATCTTTGAAAGTGATTATTTTCCTTTTAAGAAATTAGAAGCACAGTGTTTTTGAGCTAATCTCCCTTAAGTTTTTTGATTACTGATATTTTGTATTATTTATTAATTCACGTTTATTTATTCGATCAGTTACAGGAGTCAACAAAATACAGAGGTTCTTAAATTTCGGAAGCTTCATTTCCACGGTGATAAAATGAACGCGAAGGAAAAGTTGAAACGCGAGTTAGCGTGGAGGAGCGTGGGGCAGGCAAGGATCCAGCAGCGGTGCACGATGTAATATAAACGTCGTAAAATAGGAACCAGGTGAATCGTATAATTCGCGAGGGGGAGGAGGGAAGGACCGAAAGGAGGTTCGTCGAGTAATTCTCAACCATGCTGCGACACGTCCCTCTTTCTCCGCGCACGCATTACCACGAACCACCACGTACGACGACCGCATCGCACACGTGCTGCTTATATCGCTCTCGGCACGAGGGAGCCTCGCCGGAAGGAAGGGGTGAGCTTTGTGTAATATACGAAGAAACGCGGTCACATCCGATTTCATTCGGCGCCGTTTCTTTCCTTTTTCTTTTACCATGTTGCGTGAAAACATCTTCGAGTATTCTTCCAGCTAAGAAATGGATAAATTTGAAAGTTAAAGCAGCATTGCGTGTCCACTTGGATAATTAGTATATTAGTACGTTTAATCTGAAACGAACGGAGGATACACGATGGTGCATAAATTTATCGCTGACCTATGTGCATATTCAGTTCCATCGCAGATTTGGTGGATCCACAAAAAAAAAATCGCTGACACCACCTGGGAGTCGTTCCGTTATCGTCGCGTATTTGATTTTCCCTGCAGCCCCTTCCACCTGTCGTTAATGCCGCACGTATCCTTCGGTAAACAACGAAGCAGCAGGTTGTTCAGATTTTATTTGTCGAGCTCGACAGTGCCCTTCTCTATATCTACCTTTTCGCTTATCGTAGCCGAACGCATTGAGAGTGGCCCGTCGCTTCCTTCTTCCTCCTACGACCCCACCACCGCCACCAAATCCGTAGACAGCCAAATATTAAAGTTTCCCCTTCGTGCGTACCGATAACGACAAGAGGTCCTGCTTTCGACCGCCGCGATACCATCTTTATTCCCCGCGACTATAAAATTTTACAATCGTCGGACAGGGATTTTTATCGACGTGGCAGCTCGTCGTTCCTTTTCTTTGCCACGCTTTTTATATACAAAGGAAGTCTCTTTTGTGGATTCAGCCGTTCGAACTTTGATATTAGAAGAAAGATTCAGTCGTTGAGTAAGGGTTGCTAGTTTAGGGTAGAAATGAAATTTTTCAAATTAGAACGATACGAATGATTTCTGCCGTAATACTTAGCAGTTTGTCCATTAGCCCGCGTGGCCGAAAATTATTTGCGACAGAAGGACAATAGGTGGGCGCGCGGCAAACAAGTTAGCAGTCGCCTGATTCCGCGGAGTGGCAGCCCCATAATTGTTACGACATAACCTCCAGATAATCGCATCTAAAGTTTCAGGACGTTTCGTCGGAGTTAGTTGCCGGTTTGCTTGGAGCTGGGCATTTAGCCCGTATTGTCGTGCATATGCCAAGCGTGGATGTACACGCTCGGAGGCCTCTTTGCCTACAGGCTCGTTCAAACGAAACGTACGTGTTTCTACCTTGTACCATGCACCCGAATGCCCGTAATCCATTCACGGACCAACTGGTTAACCTATGTTACCGTACAATGGCCTCCGTTACTTCAACTTGTCGGTCATTGTGTGCGTCTAATACGCTTCGAATAGTGTAATTCAGAGTTTATCCCCTTCCTCAGCTGCAGAGGTCACGTTAACCCATTGCTGATGAGGTGCAGTCTCAGGACAGTTAATGTTAGGTTTTAAGTTTATTCCAGTGGTTTGCGAACCTACCAGAAGAAGATGGCGTTTCAACGAAATCTTCAGGGTTCTGAAGCTTTTATTAATTTCTCGTTTATTTTAACTGTTCCTGCAGTCAGTAGGGTTTAGGTCGTACGCAGTGAAACGGCAAGTGAGATGTACAGGGTGATGCACGAGATCACGATTAACGGGAAAGCGAACGACCGCACGAATTAACGCTTGTTTCCAAAAGCCCTAACGTGGCTGCGACAATTCTTGAGTGCTGTCTGCTGCAGAGGTAACCAAAGAGAGGAGTAGAATCCGGCTGAGAGAGAGAGACAGAGAGAGAGAGAGAGCGAGGACGATACACCTACCCCTTCTAACTGCTTCCTACCAACCAACCCCTTTCTCTAACCCCGGGGATGCGAAGCAACCACGTTAAACGTTGGTAATGTTAACGTAAATAGATTATAACACTCTGTTAAGCAGGCAGGCAGGCTCGGGCCTCGGCTCGTGCGAATTACTCACGGATCGCGTGACACGTTCCCCTGTCCTGCCAACCACTGCTTTTGGCTATCAACCTACGTGCTACACGCGTCGACGACGCTGTCCCACCACCCTCTGCACCCTTACCCCACCTCACCCCACATTCAGTTTCCCACCGTGTAAACGCGATGTCGTGTTTTGGAACCGGTGACAAACGAAAACGTGCTCGCGCGATGGAAATTATTCGAGGTTTCGGTTTTGACGTTTCTTCATCCTTCCTTTTTTTTTTTGGTTTTCAGGAAGGACGACCAGCGTGTCTGCATCCGAGGCGAAATACCGGAGGTCGATCCTGGTGCAACCCTTTATCTAAATGTTATTGCAGCTTGTATCGTATTAAGAAACAGTTTTGGAAGCAGGTGTAGTCGGTTCACACTAGGCACAGGAAATTGGTTATCCTTATTTTGGGCCAGATAAGACTTTATGGGGAATTTGCTTTTAAACGTGCCGCCTTGATAGAATGGCCCCTGTTTAACGATATGCCACTCCTAAAGTCAACAGAACGCCGGTGAATTCGTTCTTTGTTTAACAGCGAACTGGTGCACTTGTATCCTCTGATGCATTTTATCTTTGTTCGTAGATTTCTGTTATTATTGCCTTTGCTCCAGCTGCTTTTTCGGATGATTACTTCCGGTTCTTGGTATTCTCACGCGCCGCTGGGATATGTACGCAATAATATGGTCGTAAGGTTTTTATGACGGGACGTCTTCTGCTTCGTGTTTCTATGTTCGAGAACTTCCTTCCGCGTCGATACAGAATTTGCTCTCACAGCAAAATTGTATACCCCCTTTTATTGTTTTGCGTGCGTCTGTATAGACGAACTTACAAAAGTTCATTAAAAATTGTGCAGCTAAATTGCTCATTCATAAAAGGGGTGCAGCACTTTATGATACAAAATAATCCGTTCATTAATTATTTACAAGTTTGATAATATATAATAAAATAATATTGTAAAATAGAAAGGAAAAAGTATCCCTTAGAACGTAGTTTCTCAATTCTCTTTCTCCAGATCAAAAGCAATCTTACTTTTACTATTCCCTTTTCCCCAAGAAAATATTTACTAGACTTTCGGGTCAAAATGTTAGCCGCGCTCTTTATAGTTCCTTAAAAGGTGCGGCACATTTGCAGACACGTGCTCTCCTAGATGTCCTACTCTTTTACACGCATTGCGTGTACGTTCACGTGACAGCCACCTAAACAGGGGTTAATACATCTCTACGGGTGGGGAGTTGAAATCATTTATAAGCTATAAATGGGGATTTTTGGTCTGCCAACGTCTCCCTTATGTACCCAATAAAAGTGTACTTTGTTTCGACGAGACACGACCACTCTTTCCAGACACTCTCCTCTACCGACTTCTTTTATCTCTTATTTACAACTCTTTTATTTGCCGATTCCATCTGAATCAGACCCGACTTTGTTCCTCTCCTACCTCTAAACGTAAAGTCATTTGGATTTTCCCATTTTCCTGGGTCAAATCCTTAGCTAAGTTTTCGTTGCTTTATAGACCATGTTCTTTATCACGATTTTAATTCAGACTTGATTTGAATTTAGAAAGAATTAGATTTTATGTTCAATGATGCAAAATATAATTATTTAAGAATGAAATTATGAAAAGTAAAATCGTGCATTTTCCATGACTGTTGGAGCTTATGACGATATTGGCGTGGAAATATTCAAATCCATGCGACGCTCACAATAATTTCGATATTGCCCTCTGTTCCCGCTGATCATTTCGCTAAGTACCGCGTGACGGCTGAATTTCACGGATATGCAAGCGATATCTATTGTTGGATATATATAAAAAAAAAAAAAAAAAAAAAAAGGAAAAACACGCGTATTCAATGTTGCGCTGACTCTTTTTTTCGTGTTCATCTGCCTCGGCGCATACATTTATTCACGGTTGGTTAAGCCAATGTTTTATAAAGTGAACCACCCATACTTCCGTTCCTGAATTTACCTGCAACCGTGCGTTATTTTAATACGCGGTCCTTCGATTTTTTAATATCCGTTTCGAGTGAAACCGATTCACTGAACATTTTACCTGGATTTCAGGATAATTCATGGTTAAACAATCTCTCAGTCAAACGTATATCTATAAAAATTCTACGAGATTAATGAAATATCGTAAAAGAAAACTTTAGAATTAAATTAATAATTGAGTTATTTCAAAAATTTAGGAACAGTTTTGAAAACGCATCTACTTTTTAATTTTTTCAAAAGAATCATTAAAAGGATTCGAACGTTATCAACGCGGCATCAATATTAGTCGGTGTATACTTGATCCCATCCCTAAAAGCAATCCGCAATGCTACGTTCTCTCATCAGGTAGCAGCAGACTGGAACATTAGCAATTCCAATATGGCCGCGGGCAGGCTTCCGTAGAAACAATGTCGAAGATTACCGACCATGCGGGAACGTCACCGCACCACGGAGACCATTCAACGAAGATGATCACATTGTTCGACACGATAATATTTGTCACCGAAAATAACGGCCAAAAAACTGAGAAGGAATAGAGAGTCGGGCGCATATCCATTGAAACGCAGACAATGCGAGGAATTCATCTGGCTGCCCGCTCGCTTCCTCCTCGAATCCTCTTCTACCGGTCGTCCCAGCTTGTCACGTGACACGCGCCAAATTAAAAACTCGCTTTCCCTGTTCCTTTTTACTAGACCGACGTCAGATATCGAGATGGTTCATCGAAGAACCGACGAATTTTCCACCGAATATTTTCCTTCTTCTTCATAAATTTTGACTGTAACGTCAAAAGCAAAGTGTTTATTGGGTCGATCCATAGCTTACCTTATAGTTTTAACAGCATCACTTAAATGTGGATGATATGGCAGTCAACGTGATAAATATTCTGATTACAAGCGTTATGATAAATTGCGGTTGAAAATATTGACAGAGCTGTTAGGTTTGATCCACGATCGGATGGAAAGCAAGCCTGAAAGCTTCAGTTTCCATGAACATGGACAGTTATCGAGATTGCCGAGGGTACGGTTATCACGATGAAGAGAATGGAGGATCCCATTCAGCCGGGGCTCTTGCCCCGGGCGCAACGACATTGGAATGTGAAGCTGAACGACTGTCATTGTTGTCATTTTTACGGGCATTAAAATCGGGAGTCGGTTACCGTTCTCTGGCGAATTTTCGATTCCACCGGTAATGAAAGTTCCAATCCGTATGGAACTTTGGAGGCTATCGTTAAACCGCTTTGACATTTCTACTTATTACATAGTCAATAGCCTAACTGCGAAGTACGAATTCAGTTCAGGTAGAAATAATATTTTTCAATCGTAGATAAATGAAGAAAACAAAAAATATAATAAAAATGATTCTAGGTGTATATTTATGTATTAAGCATTTTCTGTCGGGAAGCAGTCGTAGCGAAAGGGTTAAGGAAGCTGAAACGAGCAGCTGGAAGAATACAGATGCCGCATCAAAGCGACAGATACTTGAAGTGACAGAGAAGATCCGTCTTGGCGAAGACAAGTTCAGCCACGGGTATGGCGAGCGTGCAACGGGGGTGGTAAGGGGTGGATTGCGGCTCGATTCGGCAGCAGGCACCCCAGGGCACGTCGAGGATCGAGAGACGCGCCATTTCATTCGCCGACTGCCGATATCGCCAGCCCCATCCAAAATATCTCATTCCCAAACGCCTCGAGCTCTCGATGGATTACAAACCTATCTATTACTTCCCTGTCCCTATCTTCCGACCAGGAATCAACGACTCGACGTACTGTCTGTTGGCGTTTCGATTCTCTTCAAGATCTCCCAAAGAATGCTTTTCGTTCAGTTTCGTTCGCCCAGAGGTCTGTCGATTTTTTTGAATAATACATAGTAGTGATCAGAAACCATTAGGAAAATCATTAAACACCATAGGATTATAAATATTTATTTATATCGCCTTATTAAAATTAATTACAAATATTTAGTACAAAATTCCACTGGTAAAGATGTCCCAATTTTAAAATATAGATATATATATATATATATATATTATTGCATCGGGTTAGGTAAGAGATTCGTCGCAACGAACCAATTCCAACGAGACAGATTTTCATCTCGTCGGTTCGCGGCAGCTCGGCATCGGCGCAACTCGGTCGGTTCAGCAAGCGGGAAGAGGATGATTCTCGCTCTTCAATCCTCGACGATGTTCTCGATGCGCTGTGTTGGTACACGAGAAGGGGCACAAGCTTGTATTTTTTTTTTTCTCTCTTTTTTAAGGGGTGGGTGATGATGGGATACTCTCACCGTGAAGAAGGCGGCATAGGCGCGGCGAGAAGCGGCACCTCTTAGTCTAATTGAAAAGTCGGCGGAAATTGAAAATTGCGATCGCGAATTGCGAGCTGCTTTAGGGAAAGCAAAGGGACAGAGTTTGCCAGCCACTGAAGAAGACAGATACACGTCTGCTGGTTGAAGAAAGACGGTTCGAGGCAGAGCGAGGGAGAAAAAGGGTGAGATAACACGAAGGAGAGGGTGCAGGCTAGCGTGTCGGAATACGGTAGAATGAAGATTCAGTGTTTTTTGTCTTTCGTTGGCAGGGAGATGGAAATGGTGTCGGTGGGGGTGCGAATCCAGCCTCGTATGGGCATTCTTTTAAAGAGCCGTCAATTGTACCGTTCTATATGGCCCGTTCTGAGGGTTGATTTCCTCGTGCTTGCATCCAACCATCCATTCATCCATTCATCTAATGCATATAGTCTTGCCGGAGTGTGCGCTTGAACAACAACTTCGTTGCTAAATTCCTAGCTTACCATCCAACCACCCCCTTACCTCTCTAAAACGAACCATCCTGTCCCCTAACACCCCCCCTTTAACACCCGAAGGTATTTGCTGTTTCAAACCGGGAGCTTCAACGTGTTCAGTGCATCGAGAAGGAAACGAGGGACGAATTGTAACCAGACCCGTCTGTCGGAGGAACTATAATTATGCTTACTGGAAGAATGAGGTGTCTTTGATAACGCTGTCTAACAACACATTTGTCAGAAGCTATCGTTACTCGCTAGGGAGTACTTACTGGATTGCTTTCGAGGGACGCCTTTGGAAGGATTCAAGTCTTTTTTTTTTTTCTCAATCTCTATTCACTGCTTAGTGGCTAGTGTTGGCTGGTGATGATGGTAATTGTAGGTTTAATTCTTAAATGCCTTAGAAATATAATATACAGGTAGAGATTTTATTATATTAACCCTTTAGTATTTTGTGTTCAATTTATCCAAAACTTTTTAAGTATCTTTTTGAGAAATTTTTAACTTCATTGTAAAATACTTTTTAATTATATGCGAGCGTCGCGACGAGTAAGAGACATCATCTTTATTTCCAACACTGGAGAATCTGGCTGGCGAAATCGAGACGATGTTAACAGCAGCTGGGAACATAAACTCAGATTAAGAGCATTTTATCAACGATATTTAATTAAATGATAAAAACTTATGAGGGAGCATTTAGAAATTCGTCATCGCGCCGGATGTGGTGTTCCAGCGGGTAATGCTGGATCCTTGATATACCTTGTTTACATAATACCTGAGCATCTTTATCGCAACTTTGAGATAACTTATTTTAAAGAAAAAAAAAAACCCGAAGGACATTTCATCATTTTGAAATAAATTATCGTAGCTAAACCTTCCATCGTTATCGTTGAACACTGATTCGAAAGACAATGGTTAATCAGCAAGGATGCGACCCAGTCGATATCATAGGGTGTCGGACCGTGGACTAATTGGAGATTCCCAAAGTTGCCCCAACAAGAGTGAATTCGTTCCCACGAATGAATTTCGTTGGCTACCTCTGCTCTTCAATTCCAACACACGGGATAAACGTTTAGTCCTGGTAGCTGCATAGGCGTTGACTGGTTAAAGGGAGGATGATCTCCGAGCCAGAGACAGTTTGGTAGGAATTCAGTGACAGGCAGGTGGATAGTCGGTAACGTATGCCGAGGAATAATTATATCGAGCTCCGTTTAAAGGTTCTTAGAAGGGCATCGTTCCAAGGGATGGCGAATGAAGGTTCACACGTAGGTGGTAGAGGGAGGGTTTTAATCACAAGCGTCCGCCGGTTGGGTAGGCTCGGTTGTAGTTTAAACGTTCGTCGACTCTGAGAATGCGAATTGAGAGATAAAACGGGAAAGTTGTGTTCGGGCATCGTCTCTATTGTAGCGTTGCTCTATCTCCTTTCATCGTTTAACGGTTTCTCGCCTTTGTCTCCGTTTTCTCTGCCGCTCACGTACGCCGAACTCTCGTTCGTTCGTTCTCCTGGACGAGCGCC